TCTGGACAGAGACAGCTTCCAGGTGTTGGGCTTGGAAGGGAGACCATCCAGGTTCACCCACAGAACGTGCAGCAGATACGGTGAAGGTCCAGAGTCTGTTCTTCTGACCACGGCCGTCCTGAACCGCCCGCTCACTCCTTTGTCTCTGTGTCCTCTGCAGTGGTGGAGGTGGACCTGATGGACCGCAGCATGGCTCCTGGTGGGCGGGCCTACCTGAGGCTCCTCAAGGCGCTGAGGTGCCATCTCAACCTGCGGACGGACTTCCTGATCTCCCACCATGCAGGTGAGGAGCAGAACCCTGGGTCAGAGGTCGGCCCGTCTGGTTCTGATCCATGTCTGTCCTGCAGGGACCGCGGTGGCGCTGCAGCCTCTGCTTTCCCGGTACGATTGGTCCGAGCGCCGCCCTGAGGTCTGCCGCCGCGCTCTGAGAGACCTGCTGTGCCCCGACCTGCGGTCCTGTGACCCCCACAGCCTCCTGGAGTGGCTGGGCGCCGTGGACGCCGGCTGGTAAGCCCTCAGCTCCCCTCATGCCTGGGAGCGCGGGGACCAGGACTCACTCTTCTTCTATGGTTTCAGCGGGAACTCCTCCAGCACATTCCTGTCTTCACTCGTCTGTCCAGAACCACAGCGGAGCCTCAGTGGGGCCCTCAGCGTGTCGCTCTGTGGTCTGCTGCGGCCGCAGGATGTGTGGCGGCTGGTGGAGCAGCTCAGGTCAGCCGACACTCACTCATTCACTCACCTGTACCTGAGCACCAGGTGACCTGAGGCTCCTGTCCTCCAGGGCTCACCTGCAGCAGGCGGAGGAGGACTCCTGGGCCTCCGTGACGGTGCACGGCTTCACCGACAGTCCCGTGTCCTGGGGGGAGGAGGAGCACGGCGTCCTGACGGGAGGAGAGACCTTCTACAACCTGCTGATGTTCCAGGACCACGCCTACCGCCTCCACCTGGCCACCGGGCCGCAGGACGCCTGCCCGCCGTGAGCCGGGCCTGGAGGCGGTGGATCTGAATGGACCCGCTGGTACCGATCAGAACCAAAGGATGGTTCTGATGGTCCACTTTACTGTCACAGATTCCTCTAGTTCACCACAAAAGATGGCGGCCGAGCGGTTGCCATGGCGTCGTCATTGTGGACACTGATCGCTCCTCTGCAGTTATTTTCCTGACCACTAGCTGGCGCTGAATGCAGAGGGCGGTCCAATGGTAGCTGATGACCAGCTGCCTTATTTTCATTGGTTGTCAGATCAAAGAGGATGGCTGGAATAAAAGCGCCTTTAAAGCAGCACGAGTCATTGGTCATTTTATTACAAATGGGGATAAAAAGGTCAAAGGTCAGATTCTCTGTTATCAGAACCTGCCTCACAAGCTTACAGTTCAGCAATAAAAGCCAATAAAGACCAAAGAAATCAAAGTTTATTGTTCATGATGGAGGAAAACATCTAAGGCAGCCCTGTAGCCCCGCCCCTTCCTGTCAGTTCAACAGCCCCTTCACTGGTTTCCAGTCAGGAACCAGTTTATGCTGGTCTCTGTTCCTGTGGGTGCAGCATGGGGGAACACCGCCACCGGACCGATTACCCAGAATCCCCCAGCAGGTGGACCCAGTCTTCCAGGATCAGAACCAGTTCCATGTTTCCTCTGCTTCTGTCCCACAGCAGAACCGGGTCAGACCCGGACTGGATGGACCCGGACTGGATGGAGCCGGACTGGGTGGAGCCGGACTGGATGGAGCCGGACTGGGTGGAGCCGGACTGGGTGGAGCCGGACTGGATGGAGCCGGACTGGGTGGAGCCGGACTGGGTAGAGCCGGACTGGATGGAGCCGGACTGATGGAGCCGGACTGGGTGGAGCCGGACTGGGTAGAGCCGGACTGGATGGAGCCGGACTGGTGGAGCCGGACTGGAAGGACTGGGTTAGGGTTCTAGCAGAGTTCGGTTCTCTTCTGCAGGTACTGCAGGATGGAGTCTGTTCCCTGCAGAGACCCCCACACTCTCTTTAGGGCTTCACACTCGCGCTCGTTGGCTTGCTCCAGAGCACTGCGGCTGGTGTTCCTCATCAGGGCTTTGGACTCCTGCAGGACCTGCCAGACAGAAGCGGAACGCAGCGTGTTAAACCTCAGTGGAGCGTGCGGGGCTGTCTTAGGACAGAGACTAACCTGAGAATCCACTCCCACCAGCTCTTTGACCCGCAGCATCACTTCCTGGGTGAAGGTTCCAGGCCAGAGAACCTGCGACACCAAACCTTTAGAACACGCCTCCTGCGCCGTCAGCTTCCTGCCACCCAGCAGCAGCTCGTTAGCCTGGAGGGACAGACCAATCTGGGTCAGGGGACGGTCTGGACGCGGCTCCTAAGACCAGTCAAGAGCCTAGTCTGGACAGGGTTCTGGAGACATTGGTCAGGATACGTCTAAGCTAATCAGGGGACAGATGGACCGGGGCGGGGCCACCCTGGGCCAATCGGGGGCCAACCTAACCTGGGCCAATCGGGGGCCACCCTGGGCCAATCGGGGGCCACCCTGGGCCAATTGGGGGCCACCCTGGGCCAATCGGGGGGCCACCCTGGGCCAATCGGGGGCCACCCTGGGCCAATCAGGGGCCACTCTGGGCCAATTGGGGGCCACTCCTACCATTGCTTCCCTCTACTACAGACGGTGGCAGCAGTAATACTCTGAAATATTCTACCTTATTTATTATTTAAACCAGTTCCTGGTTAATGATGCTCATCAATATACTAACATTAAAGATGGTAAATATTTCATTCACTCTTTCAGATCTAGAGTTTGTCTTATGGGGTAAAGAGAGTCTCTGCGAGTCACAATGAGCCTTCAGTGAAATCAGATATAACTAATCTAATCATAATAATCCACTTAATGTAGATATGAGTAAGTATGGACCTAAGCAGAACGATTAAGATGTTAGATGTTGAAATATCTGCGCCTTTTTGTTAGCAAAGGCTTTAGATTTAGTCTTTATTTAGAAAATATGGCTGCTGTTCATCTTCCTGGTGGAAGAGTGCAGCCTGACCCTGAGGTTCTGGTGCCGACCCGCCTTCTGCCAGCCTTCAGGGTACATTGGTTACTGCCTGGACTCCCTCATTAAACACCTCTGCAGATGGAGAGGACACTCACTGGGCCTGAACATGAGGCGGTAATCAGGAAAGGAGTCTGGGTCCGAGTCACAGCATGTCCAAGACTGGACAAGGGTCTGGACATGAGGAGTCCAGACAGGTCAGGATGAGTCCTTGTCAGGGGGTGTGAGTAAGAAGCAGGCACAATGGAGGACTCACCGAGGCCAACCCCATGATGCGTGGAAAGGTGAAGGAGGAGCAACCGTCGGGCGTTTGTCCACAGAACGTGTACGGCGTCTGGAACCAGGCTTTCTCATTGGCCCAAACCACGTCGCAGAGGGGGAGGAGGGCGGCACCCAGGCCAAGCGCCGGGCCGTTCACTGCCGCCACGATGGGCTTCCTGAACTGGATGAAAGTGTTGACAAAGGTCCTGAGGAGTAGAAAGACACAGGTGAGACGACGCCTCAAATATGGCTGAAGTGGTTCCGGGGCACCGCCAGGCTACCTGATAGTTTCTGCCATCTTGATGCTCTCCTTCTTCCTGTCGTCTGCCAGCCGTCTGATGAAATACAGGAAGTCGAGGCCGCAGCAGAAGACGCTGCCAACGGCACCCAGTAACACCAGCTTACTGTCGTCGGACGCCGCCGTCGCCATGGCGCTCTGGATCTCCTTCATCACCTGTAGGACGGCAGGCAATCAGAGCTGGAGTCGGGGTAGAGCCCAGCATGCTGCGGGCCACAGCCTCACCTCCGGATTAAGCGTGTTGTTCTCCGAGCTTTTGGTGGACAGCAGGATGTGCGTGAAGCCATCCTGCTTCTTCACCACGATGTCTCGGTACCGGTAGGCACTCTCCGTTTGACGGACACTGAACCGCAGACGTTTGTCGAATGTGGAGTGCTCCTCTATGCGTCGTTTACCCATCGCTCCGGTTGCCCCGGTAACGCTGTGAACAGCCGAAACGCCACCGGCTGCAACGGCCTCCATTAGTGCAGAGTTTCCTGGAGAAGAGAAGCAGAGGGGCAGTTACTGACTGGAACCAGTAGGAGAATCAGGTCAACCAGCTGCCAAGCTGGAAGATTCCTCTTTCCCATTAAGAGAACGACGAACCCAATGGTTCTATTCTAAGGCCACGGGGGAAACGTTCTAGTAACATCCGCCACGGAGTTCAACGGTTTCTAGTGACATCCGCCACAAGGTTAAACGGTTCTAGTAACATCCACCACGGAGTAACACGGTTCCAATGACATCCGCCACAGAGTTCAACGGTTTCTGGTGACATCCGCCACGGAATAACACGGTTCTAGTGACATCCGCCACGGAATAACTTGGTTCCAGTGACATCCGCCATGGAGTAACACGGTTCTACTACCATCAGCCACGGAGTAATACGGTTCCAGTAACATCAGCCACGGAGTAATACGGTTCCAGTAACATCAGCCACGGAGTAACAAGGTTCCAGTAACATCAGCCACGGAGTAACACGGTTCCAGTGACATCCGCCACGGAGTAACACGGTTCTAGTGACATCCGCCACGGAGTAACACGGTTCTAGTGACATCCGCCACGGAGTAACACGGTTCTAGTGACATCCGCCACGGAGTAACACGGTTCTACTAACATCCGCCACGGAGTAACATGGTTCTAGTGACATCCGCCACGGAATAACACAGTTCTATTGACATCCGCCACGGAATAACACGGTTCTAGTAACATCAGCCACGGAGTAACACGGTACTAGTAACATCCGCAACGGAATAACAAGGTTCCAGTAACATCAGCCACGGAGTAACACGGTTCCAGTAACATCAGCCACGGAGTTAAACGGTTCCAGTAACATCAGCCACGGAGTAACACGGTTCCAGTAACATCAGCCACGGAGTAACACGGTTCCAGTAACATCAGCCACGGAGTAACACGGTTCTAGTAACATCAGCCACGGAGTAACACGGTTCTAGTAACATCAGCCACGGAGTAACACGGTTCCAGTAACATCAGCCACGGAGTAATACGGTTCTAGTACCATCAGCCACGGAGT